GCCCCTGCGGTGATGAAATCTTGGTCCTGTTTGTAACTAAAAAAGAAAATGGTATAATTTCATACTTACTTTCTAAGTCATAACCAAAAAAAAAAAAAAAATTGTCATAACTAAACACAACATGAGTGTACGGGGGTGAAATATCCTCAGTTCTCCGTACTCCTTGAACCCAAGCTTCACGCAACGTCGCTTGACTTGAAAGATGGTGAGCTTCCCGCGGTGTGTTGCTGGATAAATCCTCCGACGCTCAAGTCAGCACACTTGGAGAAGAAGAAGAAGAGTGGGAATAGAGCACTTCAGAGAGAGAGAGAGAGTTGTGAATTCCTTTAGGTTGCTTACCTCTAACGTTCCCTCATTCCCTCATTTTTTAGGCTGGCCATGCAGCCTCAGAGATTGTGGACGCACTACCTTTTTTGTCCTTCCCTGGATAGGCGGCTGTGCTCCCCTCTACCTTCCTTACACGTGTAAAGACCAAAACCTCCAAACAGTGTTTGTCAAACCGCCAAACGGTATTGACGCATACCAGGAGTGGATTTTCCCTTCTTCATATCATTGGTCCAGGTGGCTTACACAACTGGGCTGTCACAACCGACCTATCACTTGGGAAGAAACACCACAATGACTGGGACGACCGAACTATAATAAATCGGTCCATCTGAACTGACCGGTCGTGAGGCGCGCGGTTTGACATCTCGGTTTCGCCCCGCTACCTTGTAAAGCATCTCGGCCCAAATTCAATTTGGACTGTCCGTGGCTCGGCCCAACGCATTATTGCGGATCTAACTGAATATCAGGCCGAATCACAACTCGGTTGAGCATCTGCATGTCTCTGCATTCTGGTCGATGGTTTTCTCGGCCTAACGTAATGGGCCGGGGAGCCGTGTTGGTTTAGTTCGGTCAGACACAAGACCTGGCTCTCGCAGGGCCCAACACCATACCCCGCGCTACCATAGCTCGGCCCTATTGTTCGGTGCAAATCCTCCTCTCAATTGCCCCTTAATCCCATACGAGCTGAGCATGATTGGGATTATTATTCTAACCGAGTTACCTAATTTGGTTGGTCATTGCGGATTGCGCCAGTAGTCTTGTCATTGATCATTCAGCCGTACTGACAAACCATCTTTTCGATGCCATGTGGCTTCGCCCCATTGGTTCTGTGCAACCCCACAGCTGTCTACATTATTCCAAGGATTTGAAAAGTTACCGCCCATTCGTTTTCCCACATATATACACACTAGAAGCCCAAAGACCCTTATCACTGTTCATCTCTCTTCTTCAGAAACCCTAAGCTTCCAACCTCCAAGCTCCTGCCATCGCTGTCGTCGCTGCTTTTTGAGTTGTTTTTAGCTATCTCTGTCCTCACGAAGGCTTCAAACAGGGTCGTGGTCGACTGGGTCTTAACTTGGCATCCATACCCGTAAGTTTTTCTGTCCTTCCTTTGTGTTCTCCATTAATGTTTTTTGTGTTCTTGTCTGGGACTGTTGATACCCTGCCAGTGCCTCTTTTGTGGGGTAAAACTGGTAGGTAAGTAGACATTAGGTAGAACTGGAATCGAAGAGGCAGATGGGGCCATCGTGCCCCTCGTTTCCCTTAGTTTCAATGCATGAACTTCACATTTAGGATGAATAGCATAAACCCTGGATAAGACCGAGCAGAATCCTACTTTTAGATCCAAAAATAGGATTTAGCCAAGCAAAAACTAGTTTGTGGTCCTCCCTTGAGGCTGGGACCGAGCTGTAAGTTGTAGGGAGCTAGAACCGAGATAGGAAGATCGAATCGACGTAGATAGTTGAATCGAGATAGGAAGATCGAACCGGTCAAATGCCCCAGGATCCTTTACCGAGCTAAACACTTCCTCATAAGAGCCATGCAATTTATGCTGCGCTAATACTTGGACTTATTTTTTAATAATGCAGAACAAACTAGGACCGACCAAGCTCACTCAGCATTACTATCGGTGAGGCTCAAAGTCCGAGCAAACAATCACCAAAATTTGACCTAGATACAACCAAAATTACCCAACTAAATAAAATGGGGATAGATGGGGAAGTACCGGTTCATGGTTAATTCTCCTGGGGCAATGGCCGAGTTCCGTAGAGAGTACAATATTCCAGACGATGTCCACTTGGAGCTGTCCAAGAAAGAAGACACTCCCTGGGGCGAACTGGACAAATGCCCCTTCACGGTGGTATCCATTATGGAAGGCGGCCTGTGCGTCCCGGTCCAACCCCTGGTTTGCAAATTTTTAAGGCAGACTAGGTTGTCTCGACCCAAGTCTCCAACAACACATACAAAATAATAAACGTCGTGGCCGCGCTGAATAAGATACTCGGTCTGAATCTTGGCCTCGCCGAGATATTCCATCAATACACACTTAGCAAAAATAAAGGAGGGTTTTGCTGGTATCTTAAGGTCAGGAAAGGCTGAGCAAAACTTATCGAAGGTAACTCGGACAAAGAGACCAACGATGATGATTTCTTGTGGGTGTCCGGTAATTATGAGGACACCGAAGTGCCCATACCGGGTTGGTACATAAGAAAAGATTTTGGGAGTGCTGGTGAGCACCTCAGCATGTTTTTTTTTTTTTTTACTGTTCTTGTTTTTGCCGATCTAACATTTTCTTTCCTGTTGCAGACTACAGACTCTTGGTGGAAGATTACTCCCGCGCTAACCAAGAGGCCATAAGGATTGCATTGCGGCATTCGGCCGAGGAGCGAGAGCCTCACAAGTTGCTCAGCTTCAAACCGAGCTACTGCTACACGGCGCCACGTAGGAGCAGGGTGACCGACTTTCTTCGAGCCCCTTCTCCAGAGCCGGATCCAAACATTCCTCCAATCAAACTAGTTCCTTTGACCGCCGAGCAAGAAATGGCCAAGATTTGAGCTATCAAGTCAATGATCACTGGCGAGTCGAGCGACTCTCAGCCGCCAGAAACAGCTGGGGGACAATCCTCCACGCCGGCCGTGCAAAAAAAGGGGGCGGTGTTGGCTCTGGCCAGCGAACAAGCTACCGGTCGATCTAAGAAAAGGCCGAGAAAAGATCAGGCCGAACAACATTTGGTGGATGAAGATTCCACCGAGCATCCATCTACCGATCTGGGGGAGCAGACTGATCAACTAATCACCGAGCCATCTGTCCGCTCCAGTGCCCCACCAGTCTGGTCGCTCGAGATGAAATACAAAGGCCGGGCAGTTATTACCGCCGACTCGGTCTATGCCGACAAGGACTACTCATTTGGTTTCAACATGACCAAGGGATTGCTCCTCCCTGCCGACATGAAGAAGCACGAAGAGTTGTCCGACCTAAAAGTTATTCGCTCGGCAGCAAAGTCGATCGTGCTGGTAAGTTGGCAAACCTCCTTGTCGTGAACTTATTGCTCGGTTTTGGCGTGCTAACATTTCTCTTTTGTTTGCAGGCCGCGCAGAAGAACTATTTGGCCCACGAGCGAATGATCGCTATGCGGCAAAGTGTGCGGGACGCCAGCACCGATAACAAGGCCAAGACCATCGAGCTGGAAAAGTTGAAGGCCGCACAGGAAGAGGCCGTGGCCGAGCGCGATAGGCTTGTCGAGTGGCTGGCAAGGGCGGATGAGGATAAGAAAAACGCCCTCCAAGTGACCAAGGCTAGATACATCGCCGAGCTGCACAAACTCCATGAAGCCCACAAAGCCGAGGGCGAAAAAGCTTACGAAAGGCAGGTGCAGGGGACCAAGGACATTTTTTTCCAGTGTGGTTGGAAAGCCGCCGTGGAAAAACTTGGCCTTGGTCAAGATTCTGACATGCTCCAAAACCTCCTTGTCGCCTTCATCCCGGTCCACATGCAAGCTTATGCCAGCGCCGTGCAGAAGAAGCTAATAGAAGAAGCGCAGCTTGCGGCTGCGGCAGAAGCTTCCCCCGCGCAACTAACCGATTAGAATCCTCCTTCTGAGTTGTCCGAGGAAGGAGGCCAAAAGCGTGAGGAGCCCGAACAGGCGGTGGACGTGGTGGTCGGCGCTCAAGAGGGAGATGCCGAGATAGGGGCGACTGACCAAGCGAACACCGTTGACCTTGATTGAATTTTGTCTCTTTTTTTTTTTTTGTGGTTTTGATGTAATTAGGCTAGGCCCCACTTTTGTAATCACACTTTATGATGAATGAAAAGTTCAACTTTTTGCTCGCCATTTATGCAAATTTTTCGTTTGCCATGTGCGGTTGTCATTTTCTTCAGTTTGGCCGAGATAAAATCTCCTCGGTCTAACGAGCAATCTCATTTTGGTTTAAAATATTAGTTGAACATAACACCAACTCTATTAAGAACTAGGCAAAGACACACCAACATTTTAAGCAAGCGAACAATGTCAGCTCGGCTACAATATAAGTTGAACAAATTTGATATCAAAATTAGCCCTACATTAGTGAGCAAGATACATTTTGGGTGAGCATGAGCGAAATCTGCTCTTTGATCGGCAAGCAAAAATTAGCTTGGTGAATGACGAGCACAATCAGCCTCACAATCCGAGCAAAAATCAGCCCGGATAATTACGCACGAAATTGGCTTGCCCCTAGCTCGAGTTGGGCAAAACGCCAAACTGTTTGCACGGGCGAGCAATGTCAGCTCGGCCCTAACACGAGTTGGGGAAAACGCCGCTGTCTACACTGGCGAGCAATGTCAGCTCGGCCCTAGCACAGGCTGGGCAATACGCCAATTGTTTGTATGGGTGAGCAATGTCAGCTTAGCCCTAACACACGTTGGGCAAAACACCAACTGTTTGTTTGGTCGCGCAATGTCAGCTTGGTCCTAACATAAGTTGGGCAAAACACCAACTGTTTGCACGGCCAAAGTCAAGCCGTTGTTGACTACCTGCCCTTGGCACTATAGTAGCTTAATATCCTTGCAATATCTTTGTATAGAAACGCATAGTATAAGAAAAAGGTGGGCTATCTTCCATTACACGTCACTGATTTACACCCAATGCCAAAAGGCCAAGTTACAAGAAGCAAATGAATAAAAAAGATTACATTTCAAAAGTAAAATATCTTGAGATTGGCTGCATTCCACGGTCTGGGGACAGCTTTACCATCTAAGTCTTCCAAGCGGTATGCCTTTTTGCCTGCAAGGCCAGTTACCTTGTATGGCCCTTCCCAATTTGCTCCTAATTTGCCTTCGCCAGGGATCACTGTGTTGCCCATTACCTTCCTCAAGACCCAGTCTCCGATCTTGAATAGCCTAGGATGCATGGTCTTGTTGTATTTTCTGTAGAGCTCTTGCTGGTAAGTTGCTATGTGGATTAGAGCCCGTTCCCTTCTTTCTTTAGCTAGGTCAAGTTCTAGGGCCACAACTTCATTGTTCAAGTCTGGCTGAAAACTTTAAGATCAGATAGTTGTCATGCCGATTTCCAATGGTATGACCGCCTCCATGTTGTAGGCCAAGGCAAATGAAGTTTCCCCGGTTGAGCGCCTTGGTGTAGTGCGGTATACCCAGAGCACATTGGGGAGTTTTTCAGCCCACTTCCCTTTGGCCTTCTCCAGTCGCTTCTTTAGCCCGTCCAGGATGTTCTTGTTTGAAGCTTTTGCTTGACCATTTGACTGAGGGTAGGCCTGTGTGGAGTTGTAAAACTCAATCTTTAACTCTTCGCAAAATCCGCGAAAGAGTTTTCCATCGAACTGAGTGCCATTATCTGAAATGAGGGCCTTTCGGATACCGAAGCGAGTGATGACATTCTACTAAACGAACTTTTTTACATCTTTTTCCTCGATGATTGCCAACGGCTTGGCCTCTACACACTTAGTGAAGTAGTCGGTAACAGCGATGAAAAACTTGCGGTTGCCTGGGGCTGTTGGAAGCGGTCCTACAATATCTAGCCCCCAAAGCGCAAATGGCCAAGGACTTGTAAGAGGGAGCAACTCTCTGGCCGGCTGGTGGATTTGGTGAGCAAATTTTTGACATTTTTCACACCTGTGAACGTATTTCTGCAGGTCCGCCTGCATGCATGGCCACCAATAACCTTGAGAAATTGCTTGGTAAGCTAAAGATCTACCCCCAATATGACTCCCGCAGATGCTTTCATAAATCTCGAAGAGGAAAGCTTCTACCTTGCTGGGGTGGACGCACTTCAGGTATGGCCCAGTGAAAGACTTCTTGTACAAGGCGCCAGATGGGGAGAGCCAAAACCGTTCTGATTTGGCCCTGATCTTGTTGGCCTCCTTCTTTTCAGTGGGTAGAATTCTATCCTTTAGGAAGGCGATGACGGGATCCATCCAGAACGGTCCTAAGTCGGCGCAGAGTACTTCGGGCACCTCTGGTTCCTCAATGCTTGGTTGGGGTAAGAATTCTATCATCAAAGGATTGGGAAAAGTCGTTTGCATGAATGCTAGGCCGGCCAGTTCGTCGGCTGCATTGTTTTCTTCGCGGTTAATTTGTTCCATTCTTATTGCGGCAAACTTTTTGATTTCTAAGCGTACCAGCATTTGATACTTGGCCATCCTTTCATCCCTAGCCTCATATTCCCCGGAGACCTGATTGACCACCAGCTCGGAGTCGCTGAATACTATAGGTTCTGATGTTTTCATCCTCAATGCACTCTTCAATCCGGCGAGGAGGGCTTCATATTCCGCCTCATTATTGGATGCTGGGAAACCGAGTGTGATCGCGTGCTCGATGGTCAGCCTATCCGAGGATGTCAGCACGACCCTTAGCCTGGCGCCATGTCTATTGGAGGCCCCATCAACGAAGAGCTTCCACTTCTCGCCAATGAACAACTTCCAGCAGTCGGAGGGATTTTTAGAGTTCCTTAACTCCAAGGTACTGGTCGGCTCATTCTGGTCTCTTTCTATATCTTTGTCGAGCTTGTATTTTGGCAAGCTGGCTGGTTTTTCCGTTTCTTGCTCGGCTTTCTCTTGCCCTTCTCCCACTTGTTGTCCACTATTTGTTTCTGCTGGCTGAGCCGTGGGCTGCGCCAAATCTACGCTAGCCAAATTGACAGGGTAAATAAGGTGTGTTCCGGGGGCAAATTCTGCCACGAAGTCGGCAAGAGCTTGAGCTTTAATAGCAGTGCGTGGTTGGAACTTGATATCGTATTACCCCACCTCTATGGCCCACTTTAAAATTCTATATGTAAAACCTGCTTTCTCAAAGAGCACCTTAAGTGGAAATTCGGTTAGCACGACTATTATGTGGGTATGAAAATAGTGCGTCAGCTTTTTGGAAGCCATCATTAGGGCCAGAGCCAATTTTTCTAGCGGCAGATATCTTGATTCAGCTGGGAGCAGCGTCTTGCTTTCGTTGAAGATGAGGAGGTACTGGATCCCCTCAGCGCGGACGAGGACGGCACTCACCTCGTGTTGAGAAACTGCCAAGTAGAGATACAGTTCTTTGCCTGGTTTTGGTGTGACTAGGATTAGGGCCGAGGAAAGGTACAATTTTAGATGGGGGATTTGGTGATAGACCCCTCACTGTCTAATTTGTCTTTCAAAAGGACAAGAATTATATAGGTACTTTCAAAACTCCCTAATATTTTAAAACTTGTTTCTTTTACTATATTACCCTCATATCTATCAGCTTTTCTATTAAGCCATCTTCACAGTATATTTTAGAGTAAAATTTTACTTTGAATCATAGTAAACTTTACTCTGATTCAGAGTAAAATTTTACTCTGAATCAGAGTAAAGTTTACTATGATTCAAAATAAAATTTTATATTGTTAAGCAAATTAACATGTTTTTAACCAGAGTAAAGTTTTACTCTGATGAAAGTAAAATTTTACTCTGTTTCAGAGTCAAACTTTACTCTAAAAGTACAATTTTACTTTAGAGTAAAATTTTACTCTGAAAGTACAATTTCACTCTGAATCAGAGTAAAGTTTACTATGATTCAAATTAAAATTTTATATCGTTAAGCAAATCAACATGGTTTTAACTAGAGTAAAATTTTACTCTGAAAGTACAATTTTACTATGATCTAAGGAGAGTATCCACTTTGAATTACACTAAGTGTCATGTATTAATAACCTTGCGTGTTTGGTTGCTGAGAAAATCACAAAAACATAACAAGAAAACCAAATATAGTTTGGTTGCTGAGAAAATCAATATGTTTTTAATCAGAGTAAAATTTTACTGTTCCAAATCTGTCTCATACATACATACAATCACAGATATACATGCATACACTCACACACTCATAGATATACATACATACACACTCACACATTCATAGATATGCATACATACATATACTCACTCACTCACAGATATACATACATACGCTCAGACATTCACAAATATACATATATATACTCACAAATATACATACATACATACATACACTCACTTACCGATATATATACATATATACATGCACACACATATATATAAATACATACATACACATATACATAAGGAGAGCAAATCAACGGAGACGTAGCGGAGCTTGGCGTGGTCGTCGGAGGGAGCGGCGAAAGAGGATCGGACGCCAGCGGCGTTGGCGAGGTCGACGCAAGAGTTCCAGAGGCGGTAGCTGAGATTCTAGATCTGAAGCTTGAAGGAGTTAGAGAAGGGAGAGAGGGAGGAGAGAGACAGAGAAGGTGGGGATAGAGTGGGTGGAGAAGGTGAGAAGATTTAGTTGAGGATATAATAGTCTGAAAAAATATTTAAATAATAAATTTTGCCTTTTATGCAAGACTTTATAATTATGAGAGGGTTTAGAGAGTATAATTTTTGTCTTAGTCCTTTTAACAATGAAAGGAAGGTAAAGGGGGTTTATAGTCAAATTTTCCTTTTTAGATCTACCAATGCACGGTCGTATTTGTCATCCCAAAAGAACTTGGCCTTCAAAGTTTTGAAAAAGGGCCTGCAATGATCTGAAGACCGGCTGATAAATCGGTTCAGCGCGGCTGCCATTCCAGCGAGATGTTGCACGTCATTTCGTGGAGTTTGGAAGCTTCAATTCTTGTATCGCCTTGATTTGGGAAGGGTCGGCTTCAATTCCTCGGTTCGTGACCAAAAAACCTAGGAATTTGTCGGTGCCAACTTCGAAGGCGCACTTGGAGGTATTCAAACGCAGCTTGTGATGTTTAAGTATGGCAAACATCTCTGCTAGGTCGGCAAGGTGTTAAGACTTGCCCTTGCTCTTTACCACCATATCATCGATATAAGCCTCTATAGCGTGGCCAAGAAGGGGGGCGAATATTTTGGTTACCATCCTATAAAAAGTTGCCCCGGTATTTTTTAGTCCGAACGGCATGACCTTGTAGCAATACAGGTCTCTTGGAGTGGTGAACGAAGTGATCTCTTGGTCTGGTTCGTACATGGCTATCTGGTGGTAGCTGAGATATGCATCCAGGAAGCTAAACCTCTGATGGCCAGCAGTTAGATCCACCAGTTGGTCGATTCTAGGGAGGGGGAAGCTGTCTTGTGGGCACGCACGGTTGACCGTCTTATAATCGATGCACACCCGCCATTTACTGTTCTTCTTCGGTACTACCACCGTGTTAGAGATCTATCTAGGGTACTGCACTTCTTCTATTGCCCCCGTTTCTAGCAAGTTCTTGACTTCTTCCGCCACTATCTCGGCATGGTGCAAGGTCGAGCGCCGTGTCCTCTGGATGACCGGTCGTGCATTCAGAAAGACATTCAACTGGTGGCAAATGAAGCTAGGGTCGACGCCAAGCATATCGTAAGGCGTCCATGCAAAGGCCTCCATGTTGGAAACCAAAAAGTTGACATAATTGAGTCGCTTGGCGCTGGACAAAGATGATCCCAAAAGAAAGAACTTATTTGGATCATTCTCGTCAACGTGCACTTCCACCAAATCTTCAACTGATTTCTCCTCGGCCTTTCTTCTCACGTCTTCCAGGACTTCCTTCCCTTCTGGTCCTTCTATCATTTGAACAAAACCTTTGGCAGCCCGGCTGCCATTTTCTGTGACAAAGCACTGTTTTGCAATTACTTGGTCTCCCCAAACCTCTTTTACTTGTCCGGCTGGCACTGGAAAGCGCAGGACCTGATGGTAAGTTGACGCTACTGCCTGCATGGCGATCAGCAAGCTCTCGCCTAGGATTAAGTTGTAGGTTGATGGGACCCTAAGCACCTAAACTTCCACTTGCTTCGTGACCGATCCTGCTTTGACTGGCAATATGATCTTTCCGATCGGCCATTTCGGTTGAGAGTTGAAGCCAACCAAAGGAGACGTTGCTGGAGCTAAGTCTTTGTCCTCCAACTTCATCTGTTTGAACGCGTCATAATACATGATCTCGACCGAACTTCCCTGGTCGATCAGAATTCTTTTGATATTGAAGTCTTTGACCCGAAGGGTCACCACTAAGGCATCATTATGAGGCATGTGAATTCTCTCCAAGTCCTTGCTTGAAAAGGTCACGACGTTTTTTACCTCGGTCTTTCCTTTTTTCACGGCGGGCTGAACGGAGAGCACTTCCCTTATGTGCTCGGCTTTCTTGATCATCCCCCTCAGCTTGCAAACCTGTGTTGGTTCGATGATGCCATGAATGACATTGATTACGCCTTGAGGTGCTGCATCCAGGACAGCAAGGCCGTTTGGCTCGGCCTGTCCCTGGGGAGCGGCTCTCATACCCCCGTCTATGTACTGGTCTAGATGCCCAACCGCCACCAACTCCTCTAAATGTTGTTTGAGCGGCACACAGTCCTTCGTTCGGCGCCCTCCTTCTTCATGGAAGGTGCAGCGATACCTCATGTTGAAGCCTCTCTGCGTGTTTCCCAACTTGGCCGGCCAACGGACATAAGGTTCACCTCAGATTTCACTTAGGATGCGGTAAACAAGGATTTTAAAGACAGTGGTGGTGCCAGTTCGTGCTTTCAACTTTCTTTTGGCATCTTTCTCTTCATCACGAGGAGCGTTAGCTCGGTTGTTTCTGCGACTTTTGTTTCTATCATTGCGGTTTGAACCGCGATGTTGGTCTCTTGCTCGGTCATTTGGGCGGTTGTCCTCCTGCCCCATCGAGTGAACCTTCCCTGCCACTCTTCTGTCTGCCGCGACCGGATTTGCCTTCTCGGTTGCGGTGGCAGCATCATCCTCTACTCGGATATGTTCGTTGATCCGCTACATCAAGGATTCCATGGTTGTGGGTTGGTGCATCGTAAGCGAATCTCGCAACCTATGTCCGACTGGGAGACCTCGCTTGTATTGGGCGATCGCCAGATTCGTGGGGCAATCGAGGATCTCATTGTAGGTTTCCCAGTACTTGGCATTGTATGTCTTCAAAGAGCCTCCAGATTCCATCTTGACGCTCAGGAGATGGTCGACCTCGTTCAGTGTTCGAGTGTTGGTTTTGAATCTGGTGACAAAGGCCTCTGCTAGTTGTTGTCACCTCTCGATGCTCCCATCCGGAAGTCTTTCGAATTACTTTGGGCCCAGTTCTCCCAAACTTGTTGGGAATTGTTAGCATATTATATTAAGTGTTAGCATATTATATTAGCCGAAAGGTACACTAGGGTCTGTCTGTAATCATTTTATGCACTCAGGGATAGCACTCAGGGATCATCTTGTAATTGCCTTTCTTGTAAACCCTAATCTTCATTTATAAATAGGGGGTGATATTCTATCATTCCCCAAGCTGGTTACCCAAGCTTCATGGTATCAGAGCTATACCTCTAGGGTTAGGGTTCAAAACGTACCTAGTTGGATCATCTGCTGGGTTGATCTCCTCCAGTCGTCCTCTGTCGTCTTCGTCTTCGTCTGCTTCGTCTTCGTCCCTCAGCTCGTCTGCTTCGTCTTCGTCTTCGTCTGCTCGTCTGCTTCGTCTGCTCGTCTGCTTCGTCTGCTCGTCTGCTTCGTCTGCTCGTCTGCTTCGTCTGCTCGTCTGCTTCGTCTGCTCGTCTGCTTCGTCTGCTCGTCTGCTTCGTCTGCTCGTCTGCTTCGTCTGCTCGTCTGCTTCGTCTGCTCGTCTGCTTCGTCTGCTCGTCT